TGTCATGTCACCAAAAAGAAACAAAAAATTAAAATTCCAGTTAAAAATACACAATAAAAATAAGCACATATTTATGGCATTACATATAGTGTATACTTTCGCTCTAATAAAAGGTCATGAATATGCTACATAAATTCATATATTCCCTGTAGTCAGTTTTTATTAAGTAGGAAGCTAATTGTATTTTTTAGCCTAATCCTACACACACACACCACCCCTTCAATAAAACATCATGCTTACTGCACATCCAGTAGAAAAAGCAAGAGAGCATATTTCTTTAAACCTCACAAATTTAAATAAAGAAGAAAGGGCATAAGGGTTATCTTGGTCACAAGAGAGTATAAATAACTGCAAGGTTTTTACTATGTGCAAAGCACTGTTCTACACACGTCAAATAGGTAAATCTATTTTCCAACATCTCTATGAGATCAATACTATTTTGGTCCCATTTCACAGATGAGAAAACAGAGGTAGAAAGAAATGCAGAGCTCAAGGACAGTAAAACCAGGACCCACACGCAGGCCATCTGCCTCCACAGCCTATATTCTTGATCCCTCCCCTATTTAAAAATACAAGGAGGGTAGAGGTCAAGACAAATACGTTTCTTCCAGTTTTTCCATCTACTCTTAGACCTCAAGTCTGTATTTCCTGGGCAGGACAACCTGGAAGGTGCAGAAGGGCCTTCTCTATTCCCTATAAGGATTTCACTGTTAACTATCTTCAAGTACTAAAGTGTAGAATAGGAAAATTATAAAAAATGTAGACTAGAGGTCAAGGTGGTTATGGAAAGTTGTTTTTGTGAAAAGGCTGCATGAAGAAATTTTGAAAGTCTTTGCACAACAGGGTTGTAATAAGTTTTCTACCCAAAGTTGGCTTACTCTGAATGAGACACACCAGATAATCTTGACAAACGGAGAAACTGTCTATATTGGTATAACATAAACCAAATTAAAAAACTCATTGCCATTAGTTGGAACGGACTTATATCTGACCCTCCAGTGAATTTTCATAGGCTTAAAATTGCATGGGAAAAGATTGCTCATGTTCAACCAACTGCCTTTGGGCTCACAACACAATTTCTTACCCTCTAGGCCACCAGTAAACTCTCCCCTTATACAATGCTTTGTCCCTACCTTAAGCTCTCTCTCAGTAAAAGACTGCTGTAATTCTTAATCATTGGTCTTTCAAAACATTGGTAATACATACAATGAAGTAATTTACTCAATGTTTTCAATTCATTCCTTAATAGACTGTGATCTTTAGTCCACAGACAACCTGATTTTGAATGAAAGAGGTGCTATCTTTCTTGAAAAGACACCCTTTTGATGCAGTTAAAGATTTTCTTTCTCTGTTAACCATTTCTTTCCGCCCCTCTCCAACCCATATGATGAAAATTACCATTGGTTAAATAAATCCTAAAATGTTTTTACTTTCTAATCTTTACAAAGCCAGTAAATTATTAATTTTTACTTTTAAGTTCATATTTATAATGAGCAATATTTTACACCTTTTCAAAAGATTTCTATTTTGACAACCAACAAGCAAACTCAGCAGTATAATGGAAAATTATATGTGAAAATTCTGATGTAAAACACATAAAGTTTTCTCCCTTTATGAACATCATATATACTAAAATGCAATACAAATTATATAATAGTGAAGTTCAAGTAAATTTTATGTTGATGGTATGGAGATAACTCTTAACTTTCACACTTGGATTTCAATAAAACAGAACAAACTGTGTTTCAAATAATCGACATTTTTATTTCTTTCTTAAAGGTTGGTTATAATATTGCTTTACATATGTAACTGCCTAAATCAGCTTTAGGCAGAAAATCATAGTATGCATTAAATTATATTGACAGAAGAAGGACAAGCTGCCAAGTTTCTGTCATGAAAAACTATTCTTATATGCTACTTGAGACATAGGGTATGCTTTTTCTCATATCCAGACCACTTAAGCTGTGTCCTTTACATAGTAATCTAAGTAAAAGTTGTTCGTATCAAAGAAATCTGACACATCCTAGATTTGCTCTTTGGTCTGTATTCCTAACACAACTCAATTATTGTTAGGATATATCATTAGATGTGGGAAAACAAATTTCTACTATATGGGTTTTTTCTTGTTAGATAAGCAAGTCTTTCAAAAGTTTAAGAGGAGAGGAGAAGACTACTTCATTTATCAAACCTCTAAGTGGCATGTTTTAAGTTTAAGAGTTTTTGTTTTAGTTGTTTGAAATATAGAAAAAAGGCAAATAAATTTGTTTTAGAAGACTATTTTCTGAGTAGGTATCAAATAACCAACCGCCAAAAGTTCAGTTTTGCATCAAGAAGCTAGTTTTGAAGCCAAAGTAGCCACCTTTATCACAGCTCCTGACTCTATTTACTTAGAGCCAAAACCCAGAGTTCTGTCACAGATAAGAAAGCTCAGATAACATGGTTAGGATCTGCCATGGCTTTTTACTTCCATGTTGGCATAAATATAACCCTTACAATTTCAGAACCATCTTTTACGTAACATTTTCCTAAATGTGAACTTTAGTGGTGACAGTCCACTATGAATCAGATAAAAAGTTAAATCATAGGTAATCACTTAGTAAGGAAAGGTTCACTGGATAATTTGAGATATAACATCTGTGACTAAATTCTTTATTCAAAAACACAGTGATGATAATGTCTTCCTGAGTTTAAGGATACATCTTCATGATTTAAAGAAGAAAATGTTTCATCATAATGAATATTTTCCATAAACTTACAAACACCAACATGGCAGAATTACTTTGCTTTTAGATGTTCTCATTAACCAGAAACTGTTCCTAAGATCAATCTTACAAATTCATGGTCCAAGTTATAAGAATAAAAACTATTTTATATGTTTCTGTTTTTCTTCAAAGTATTATTCTATGATTTAGCAAAGGGTATGATAAAATCAAATTCCTATTCTGAAAATCTATGTACCAAATGTTCAAATCCAGAAAGCAGTAACTCAAATAGATTAAAAAGACTTAGTTATATAAGGGATCACTATCAAACACATAGATGGTGCTTTTAGATGTCTTTCAAAATGTTATAAATCAAGCACAATGATTTCTGCATGATTTTTCATTACAAAGGGTTCAGAGAAACAGCACTAAAAAAATTTCAATTTTTTGAGAATAAACAGACTGGATTTTATTAATTCCATAGAAATATTTGGTCAAAGTCACATTTCCTTTGCATTATTGATTGACTTTTGAGACTACTGACCAGAATGAAAATAACAACTTTATACTGGAATACCACATTTTCAGTAAATCACATCTAATTCAAAATAAAAAACAAAAAAGAAGAGGACAGTGGAGGAGGACCAAAGGAAGAAAAAAAAAAACAGTAAACATTTTTAATGCTTCAAAACCAGAAAACTAGTAATCATTCAAAATGAATTAATTATAATAAAAATAAATACTCAGATATAAATACTGGAATTACTAAAGTGAAAAAGTAAGCAAAATTAACAGTTTAAATGAATATTTTTACACACACATGCACTCATTTATCTCTACTTACTCACATCCATACACATTTTAAAAGAACTACTGAAAAAGCAATAATTCTTTACAGACACATCCTTTTCTCAAAAGTTGAATATTTTTTTAGAAGTTCAAAGATTTTTTTTAAAAAAACTAACGAAAAAGTTCTTTGCAGAAATACAGATCTCTAACAAAAACTTGAAATAATGAAAATCTATGAATTAGCAGTTTTCATTGTCTATGCTTCTGATTACTCAAAATAAATTTGGCTATAAATTCAAATCTGAATATAATTACATTTATTTTTATTTTGAAGTTACGCATCCTTTACCCACAGACAGCAAACACTTTAGAATTGTGCAGGTCTCCAACCTTCAGACTTAAAAATGTCTCAGAGTAAACCAAACAGATCCTTCAAAGTGCCCTTCAGTTGGATGAGTTGTCAGTAAAGTCACTATAGTGAAGAACAATGTAACATTCTACTCAAACTTTACGCTTTCTGATGTCATGCCACCTGTGGCATTCTATGACAAGTGTTTTCCCCCCTTTTGCTCAGACTTAACGTAGCAAGGAACAAGCAGGCTTTTGAATGAGAACTCACTCCACTTTAAGTATTTGCTTGCTTGCAAGATTTATACTCGACTATAGTTTGGCTCTCTTATACTGTGATTCCTGGGTTCTAAGTGTCTACAAACTGACAGAAATAACAGGAGATGTGAAAAATGCAACAATACCAAAACCAGATGTTGGTATAAAATTCCAGGGCCATTTATTTGCTCATTTTGCCTTTTAATGTACAACTTCCACAGTGAAAACAAAGAACTCCAGCATCACCCACCTAAAATACTTAGAATCATGAAATGTGTAGGGGTGAGGTAGTAGAATATTTATTAGATGGGGACCTCAGGTTGGGGAGCAAAAGAAATCTGACAGAATAGGCTGAAAGAAAGTAAAATGTCCCTTAACCCACCCTATATCTTCAGCAGTACTCCATAATCTTTACTCTCACTGTTTTTAATCTCTAGTCTTGTGATCACTCCAAACAGGGTAAAGGTTACAGTTTTGATTTGTGGGTATGAAAGGAATCGCTCTTAGACACAATGGGGTTTGCTCCTAAAATCATTTTTTACCTTTCCCCACCCCTCTTAATCTTCACCAAATCTCCTGGCTTTGGAGAAATTAGAGCTGCAGTTCAGATTACATTAATAAAATATCTAAATTCCGGAAAAAAAGGAGAATAGCAGTATTAGTTATATTACCAGATACAAAGTCATGATTTATTACAAACAACCCAAACATCCCTAAATCTGCAAAGGATTCACCTACATTTTCCTACATGAAATTTTTCATCTGTTCAATTCCTGCAAAAGGATCATTTAAAACAACTGAAAGGTAATAAGACCTCTTGTTCTGCCACAAACACCTGCTTTAGTAGTTAAAAAAAAAAGGGCAAGATTTGGTTATTCTGCATTCTTACATTAACAAACTTACATGATTTCCTGTTGGAAATTTTCAAAGGTTGAACTAATATTTCTGGTCTTCTCAGGGCCAATCTCCTGGGGGAAAATAAGGTCAATATGCCTATCAATTTCCAGTACGGGTCTGAGATGAACACATCAAAATATTCAAAGTCTGAAGAGAGACTTATACAGTTAGGGAAAAATGAACACAGTGCAATATAAAGGAAGAAATAAATCCTCCACTCTTAAAGTGTTCCGAACTAATTCCCACCGCCCAGATTACAGATATGTACACCAATTTCATTTCAGATACCAATGTGCTATTTTCCATCTGCTTCGCAACAAAAACCAAAACCAGTCCTGTCGTATTATTGTTGGTCATTACTCCTAAGTGGGTAGACAAAACAGAAATCCAAGTCCGGGGGATAAAGGATTCCAAGGCGAGGTTTGCAAGTCTGCCTTATCACAGCTATGCAGGGATGGTATTTTGCAGAGAACAAAAAATTGTTTTCAGAAAAGGCCACGATGATCTGCCAAGAGCTCACCTTTCCTGGAAGTGCTTGGAGGGAATCAGGCCAGCTCTTGGATTGGCATCTCCTTCATGCTTTGCTTGCCACCATGTTGCATCATCCTGGCTCATAATCTGAAGTATATCTCCTTTTTTGAAAGCAAGTCCAGCTTCTTTACATGGAATTGCTTTGTCCTCACTAGGACTGTAGTCAAAGAGGGCTTTGATAAACACCTAGAAGAAAGGTGCATTTAAGATTAAGTACAGAATATATATCCAAGACAGCCTTCACTCTTTTGATTTAATAAATAACTAGGCTACCAAAACAAACTTACAGTGACAAAGCAGTTAAGAGTTATTTGGAAAAACACTGCTTTTGGCAACACTCCCTCACCCAATTTGTAAGAGTTTCAATTACCTTGCCTTCTTTAGATGGAGTCTCCTCTTTGATGCTGGGTATAATCTTAAACGTAATTGCTCCCTGGGACTGAGCCTGATATTGAAACAAAGAAATAGTTACAAGAAAATTTCTAGAGCTAAAGGGAAATAGCTTTAGAAATAGGTCTAGGGAGCTCTGGTGGCATGTGGTTTGAGACCACCAGCCGTTCCATGAGAAAAGGATGGGCAATCTCCTCCTGTGTGATTAAATGCCTCTGAAAACCCACTTGGGGGTCAGCTATGGTTCAGTTCTAACTTGACGGTACACAACAACAACAAAGGGAAATTAGAGAAAAACATGATGAAAAGTGAATGATCAGAAAAGCTACTCAGGTAGATCAAAATGAGGAAACCAGTTCATCAGAAATTCTTAAATCTAAGAAGGCATAAAAGTTTGACAAAAAATGAAAAACTAACCACTAAAACCATTTTTACTTCCTATGTATTTTATTACATCAATGACTGTAAATATACTGTCATGAGATTTGTCCCAACTCATAAAATAATCCTCAATCAGTTTTCCAAAGCTGTAGATCTTTACAATAAGAGACTGGCCACTTTTATCTCGTGAAGTGACCAGTGGTTTTAAACTGCTAATATGTTAGGCACTATGATGATGAGGATGGCACAGCCTACAACAGGGCTCAGGTCTGCTGTTCATCATAGGGTCACTATGCGTCATACTCGACTCAATGGCACTTAACAACAACAACACCAGGGCTCCTTTCTGTGACTTTATTACTATCCATATTGAGTTACTTCAGAATAAAAATAAATAAGGCACAGTGCCTTAAAGAAAGAAAATGTTACCAGATTAGAAACAAGTTTTGTGCAATTAGTTTTTGTCAAATTAATGTACAAAGCTCAGGGCATTGTATTTATTGGAGCCGTGATTAAGTGCTTTTTTGGTAAAAGGTTGGTGGTTCAAACCTCTGGCTGCTACATAGGGAGAAACATATAGTAGTTGGTTTCTGGAAACATGAGTCTCAGGAAACCTTATTGGGCAGCTTGATTGTCATGTGGAGTTGCTAGGATTGGAATTCATTTGATGGCAATAGCAATAGGATACCATGTTTTTAAGGACAAAGAAAGGAAGGAGAGAAGAAAAGAGGAAGGTCACTAAGACTCATTATCAGCAATGTAATGTCTGATTTATCACTGTTACTAGCACAGTAGCAATTAAGTGGGGATCTCCTGTGGCATAGTCAATGGGGAGCTGCAATGCTAATGCAAAGGTCGTGCTTCTCTAGCAGTTTGAATCCACCAGCAGCTCAGTGGGAGAAAGACAGGCAATCTCGTCCACTGTGATCAAGTCTTGGAAAACCTGCTGGAGGGTCAGTTCTGAGTTGCTTCCAACTCCTTAGCAATGAGAGAAAGAGTTGTATATTGGTTTATCCAGGTCAGTTTTGTTCTTTTAAAACATTCTGATTTGCAAAATTTGGCAATCTGCAAGATAAAAATATCCCTACTGTAGGCAATTTTAGGAAGCTCTGGTGTCCTAGTGCTAAGAAGCTGTGCTGCAATACCAAAGGCACGTGATTCAGATCCACCAGTTGTTCTGCTAGTGAAGGATGAGCAATCTCCTCCCTTCCTATTTGTTAACTGCCTCTCAAAACCTGCTGGTGGGTCAACTATGAGTTGGTTCTGACTCAACAACACACAACAACAGCAGAGCCAGTTTTAGTACACCAGCAGGAAATCACTGTAAGATGGAATTAGGACATGACTCAGAGTCAGTCTTTTGCACCAGAGGAGGGAACTCTAACACAAGATTGACATTTATTAGAAATAGGCTTTAATGGTGCAACTATCAAAGTTTTATTAAGGAATAGCTTATTTTTAAATGGCAATATCATTATAATTACTTCATGAATCTCATTAAGAATTCATATAGTAGGTAAAGTGAAAGGGGGAAAAATCTCTAGACATGATGGTAATTATAAAAACAGAGTTCTGTACAGAAATTATGTTAGTCATAGAACAGATTTCAGGTCTTTTGTGCAAAACTTACTCTGTCGTATTCGACTTGACGACACTTAAGCACTGCTAAATGAGACTGGTGCTGTTTTATCTGGAGGAATACTCTTCCTCTTTGTACCTCACTCTTTGTCAATGTGCAGTATGAAGTAACCTTGGCTGCTGTGATGCTGAACCTTGTGCCATAGGGATATCAAATACTAGAATGGCTTCCCAATGTGGACAGTGTTTGGTGGAGCTCCCAGTTGTAAAATAGGCTTGGAAGCAGGACTGGCATCCACTTCCTAAACATGTGCCTCTGGAAACTCTATGAACTTGGTGAAATGACTACAGTTATGGAAAGGCATTGGGTCTTTTGTTCATAGAGTCACTATGAGTCATACTCAACTCAACAGCAATCAACAACATCCTATTCTGGCTTTATTTTTTTTTTTGGCATTTATGTAGTACATAAATGTTAGAACAGTGTCACTATAATTCAGTATATGTACGGTATCTATTATTACTGTAGTATGGACAGAAAAATGGATAATGGTAACACAACGGTTGCGTTATAATTGACTCATTGTTGTTTATTGTTATTAAATACTGTTGAGTCAGAAAGACCCAGAGCTGTTCTTCCACCTGATTTTCAGAGACAGAAAACTGCAAGAGAAGAGAATCCCCATCTTTCTCTCGCAGAACAGGAGGTGGATTTGACATGAGTGCCTTTGGTAGGCAGTACAATTCCTTACCACTAGGTCTCCAGATCTAGTAAGTTATTCTATAAGAACTACAATGATGGATGGTAATAGATCAAGTCAATGCTCCTGATAGTTTCCAACTATTTTTAACTTTTGTTTATATACATTCTTTTCCCTGCTTGCCAAATTATTTCCTTGGACTATATTTACAATTTAGTTTTGTGTGTTGTGGATTTTTTTCTTAAGTTGTAGCAAATATATAATAAAATATTTCATTATTCATCCCAAATCCCATGATATTACATTTATCATGTTGTACAACTGAATTTCTTGCCTAAAAGAGTATGCATATTTGAAAGTTTCTGAAGGTCCCACAGAAAGGTTCTATTAATTTAGCCAACTACCAAAAGTAAACAAACACATCTATTCCCATATACTCCAGCCAGCTCTAAGGATTAGAGATTTTAAATTACCACCTATCCATCATTTTTAGACATGTGTTTACTTTAATAACTTGTCTGTGTGCATGCATTGTCAATTTTTCTATACACTTTTTCTCTTCATTTTTGTATGGAATGCTGAAGTACTCATTTTCTTTCATGTATCAGGCTGCTACACAAAAGGTTGGTAGTTCCAAGCCATCAGCAATTCCATAGGAAAAACATGGGTAGTCCATTCCTGTAAAGGTTTACAGCCTCACAAACCCAAGAAAAGGCTGCTATGCATTGGGGCTGACTCAGTAGCAATGGGTTCTTTATTATCAGATGTTTAAAGTATTTTCCTACAATTTCTTTTTTTTTTTTTAATTTACGAGATTCTTTTCTATACAGAAAGTTTCCAAGTGCAACAGTCACATCTGTGACTTATGTCTTTTATTTTCCTATCAAGTTTTTAAACAAGTAGCTTTCCCTCTCCTATAATTCTAAAAAATGTTTTTCTTGTGTTTTTAAGAGTTTGGTTTTTTAAAAAAAATACTAAAATAGCTCATTTGTTGGAAATTCACTTTGGTGTATGGAGCAAAAGGGGACCAATTTTTCCCATATGAATCAATAACCAATTAATCCATTAACATTTATTAAATACTTCTATCATTTTCTTATACTCTTAACTGCATCATAAATTTTCAAATATGCATAGGTCTAGTCTGGTATTTTTCATTATTGTAGATTTATAGTATGTTACACTATATATAATAGAGACAATCTCCCTTTCACTTTATCCTTGCAAATGAACTGTATAATATTAAAAATACCCAAATAATCTCATTTAGTTTAGACCTCATAAAACAGCTTAATCTGCTTCACTACGTTATACACTTTCAAATTACAGCTTAAAATATGGCCACATAGATGGAAGATGGAAGAAGAGAAATGTATCACAAAAAACGGAGCAGACACACTATCTTTATAACACTTCATATGGAATGGCCATGCACTAATCTTAAGTATTAAGTAGGATATAATATATAAAAACACTCTAGTGAGATAGTCACCTTAACTTATACTTATTTTATAAGTTAGAACATTGAGGCATAGATTAAGATATTTTCCAAAGATACCAAGAGACGAAGCCAGGCTTTAAAGTCTATTCTACTAAATCCAAATCCTGTATCAAGTCTCAAATGTAGCAACTTAAACATTTCTTATTACAATTTTATTTTAAAATTTAAGATTTATTTTAAATGTGCACATTACCAAAATCTGTATTACTTCTTCAGGCCTTTTATCCTCTACAGGAATCCCATTCACTTCCCTAAGTTCATCACCAACATGAATAAGACCTGAGAAATGACAAATGTGTTAGCTTAGCAGTGTTAAAAGCAAATTAAATGGGAATTTGCACTTGTTTCCATAATTAGAACATTTTTATGTTCTCTTAATGCCTTTAAAGACTAGAATAACATGGCAATGAATCAAATTATAGCACAATAATGCTGGCAAAGAAATGACAGCAAGAGGTCAACTTTACCTAGAAATTTACATCACAGATTTTTTTTTAAGAAAACGTAAAATGTATTTTTACAATGGACTGAATATTTTAGTAGTTGTTTCCAAATCAGAAACTCTTTTAAAAAATAATGTCTTTCATAAACTGGTATCACTAAACTGTGGGTGGGTAAGGATGAAATGAATGGTAAACAGTGTTCTTTATATATACTTTGGGCACGTGTCCAGGAGAGACAGGTCCTTAGAGTAGGACGTCATGCTAGAAAGGATGGAGGGACAACGGAGAAGAAGGAGACCCCGGATGAGATGGACTGATACAGTAACTGAGCACTGGGGGTTGGTGTGTCAGAATTAGTGAGACTGGCTCAGTACAGGGCAAGGTTCAGAGTTGCTGTACATAGGGTCACTCTGGGTCATAGGCGCCTCGATGGCACATAACAACAACAATATATAATTTAAATTTAAAACAGCAGGCAGATTTTAAAAGTCTGCAACTATTGAAACTATACAGACAACTTTTTGTACTTGACTGTGCTCCTCAAGGGAACCGTATTCTTAGTTCAAATTTTAGCATCATAGTTTCATGAATAGCTTCCTTAGTTGGGAGGTCTAGTTAGGGTCATGAACCTCCCCAGTCAATTGGTCTAATACTGCTCTACCACCTAGTTCAGTTGCTTAAGATACAACAATTGTTCTCTACTCACTAGGAACAATGAAAGAAGGGAAAGAATTGGATGGCAGGTCTATGTCTCACCTTGATATCATGGTGCCCAGCTACAGTACAGAGCATCTTCATCAAGAACTCAACAGATGGATCTTGATGAAGATGAGATAAAAATATGGAGAACTTACATATTTATTGGAAATCTGACTTACTAGAAACACTAAGACAGAACTGCTCCAGAACCACGACTCAGAGGCATCAATTCTTCTGTCATCCTTAATCACTGTCCAGCTCTCTAAAGCATAACAAGTAATTGCAAAGACCATGGCCTGGATATGCGTACTTTAGTCTCTAGAATGACATCACTGCTTTTCAGTTCTCTAGAGAGATTCCCTGAAAGCAGATTTTCCAAATGCAATTTGTCTCTTGATTTCTTGACTGCTAGTGTTAGGCGTGTTGATCTAACTTATTTAAATGAGGAATGTTCTCTTGAGTATTGTGCCTTTTAAAGAGTTTAGCATGTAGGATTAAATGGCCAACATTAACTCTACACAGAGAAACAGTATAGAGAAATCTAGGCCAACACCAGTGAAATCATTTGGGTAGAGGAAGGGAGAATGGTAACATGGTGTAACCACTATCAGTGAACTATACATGCAAACTTATTGAATGGGTGTGTCAGAGGCGGTGCGGTTGGCGCAGGATAGAGCAGGGTTTAGAGTTGTTGTGCATAGGGTCGCTATGAGTCGGAAACGACTCGACGGCACATAACAACAACAACAACATGTTTGGCTGCATTTTTTACTATATGTACCTATTTCTTTATAGAGGAAACAGGAGTGCCATCCACTTCCTAAACAACATACGTCTAGAAACTCTGTTCACTTTGATAAATGGCAATGGTTGTGGAAGGGATTCAGGCCTTTTATTCAAGGGGTCACCATGAATCATACTCAACTCAACGACAATCAAAAACAACAATCTATACAGACAGACAGATATATGTACACATATATATGCACATAATAATATAGAACTTGCGAAAGCTGTGTAACCTAGGGCATAAAGATTTCTCTATCACTTCTTAAATTCATCCCCACATGCCATAGAGAAAATATTTTTACTTGTTTTGCAATGTTGTATCACAAGATTACTATTTTCTTGATGACATACTGAAAATGAGTACAAAATACAACTTAACTTCTCTCTAATCACTTTTAAAATCTTACCACTTCTATCTGCAGCTCCTCCTCTCATGATTCTAGCCACAACAATGGCCCCAGTCTGCTCATCCTTCTTAATGGTTGCTCCCTATTTAAGAGAAAAATAAAAGCATTTGTGGAGAAATGTATGCATTAGGTAGCAAGAGGCATGATGCAGAATAAAAAGTAGACATCTAGAAAAAAATGAAAACATTTCTAAAATCTTTATGGAATGAATAAATAAGAATAGGATTACTGTTTACCTTACAAATACTTCCAGACTCAGACATTTCTGCTGTACATATCAGTTAGGGCTGTGGTTATTGTTGTATACCATGAAGTCAGAACTGACCCATGGCTGACACTGAAAACCCGCTGGAGGGCAAACTATTGGTCCAACATCAGTTAAAGTATCTAGCATAATTCAAACATTTTTTTGAAATCTGTAAGCTTATCATTGTTAAAAGTAAAAAGCATCTCCATGCATTTTAACACTGCTTCTTTTCATTCTTTTTATTCCCATAATAGGGAGCATTGGTGGCTTAGTGTTAAGATGCTGTCCTGCAACTCCAAAGACATGCAGTTCAAATCCACCAGTTGCTCCCCAGGAGAAAGATGGGCAATATCCTCCCATGTAATTAAACTGTCTCTGAAAACCAGCTGGAGGCTTAGCTAGGGGTTGGTTCTAATTTGACGATACTCAACAATAAGAATTCCTGTAATACTCCATGAAAAAGATAGTGACTACATTATTAAGACTAAGTTAGAGACAAAGATTACAGACTAAGTTATATACATAAAATCAAGGCAGCTGACACTTGTGTTGCTACTGTTGTTGAATACTGTCAAGTTGGAATCTACTCACTGCTGCCACTTCACTATACTTTCAGAGGCAGTAAAATACACAGGAGGAGACTGCCTATCTTCCTCTTATGAGCAGCTGGTGGATTCAAACCACATGACCTTGAGATTGCAGCACAGCTTCTTGCCACTATGCCACCAGAGCTTCCTATCTGACACTTAGCTTAATGCTTTTTCTCTTTCATTAAGCTACCTACACTTGGACAAGGAGGCAGTCATCAGAACAGAGCAAGGAAGCACTGCAAGGTTCAAAACTGGGAAGGGTATACACCAGAGATGTATCCTATCTCTGTATCTTTTCAATCCATATGCAAGACACATTATCTGGGAATCTGGGCTTTATGAGGAGAAATGTCCCATCAGAATTAGAGAAAGACTCATCAACAACCTGCATTACGCAGATGACACAACTCTGCTTGCTGAAACTGAGGAGGACCTGAAGTTATTGTTGCAGAAGGTCAAGGACTGCAGCTTTCAATATGAGCTGATGCTCAACATCAAGAAAATAAAGATTCTCACCACTAGGCCAATTGGAGAGCATCATGATAAACGGTAAAGAGACAGATTTTTAAGCTTTAGTTTGCTTGGCTCCACAATCAACATTCTTGGCACAAGCGGTGAGGAAATTAAAAGACAAATTGCACTGGGAAAGTCAGCTGTCAGAGACCTCTCCAAAGTACTGAAGAATAAAAATGTCATTCTAGAGACTAAGTTGAGCCTGATCTAAGTCTTTGTAATTACTTGCTATGCATCAAAGAGCTGGACAATTACTAGAGATGATAGAAGTAGAATTGATGCCGTTGAGCTGTGGTGCTGGATTAGAGTACTGAATATACCATAAAGAGCCAGGAGAACAAACAGGTTGGTCCTAGAGAGGGCGAGCCCAGGCTGCTCCTTGGAGCCAAGGATTGTGAAGCTACATTTCACATACTGTGGACATGTTGTAAGGAGGGACCAGTCCTTGGAGAAGGACACCATGCTTGGGAGGGTGGAAGGACAGTACAAGAGAGGGAGACCCTTGATGAGATGGATTGGTTCCGTGACTGGGGTAATGCAGGTAGGTGAGTCAGAGACAATATGATTGGCAAGGGATAGAGCAGGGCTGTTGTACATAGGGTCACTATGAGCAGCAGGTGACTTGATGGCACATAACAACAGCAACATCATAATAGCGAGGGTTGGTTACAATTATAAAAAATAAAGGGACAGAACAAGAGAAATTAGCCATATTTCATGACTAACACTAGTATAAATGAATATAAGAATGTTCTCTTCATTTTTAATAACTAGGATTATGCCAATACCTAGGAAAAACAGAATTAACATTCTGGCATAACATTAGGAAACAATTTCAGAAGATTCCAGAAATCATTTGTTTATGGATGTTTACAGACTAATTAATGGAATGCTGCATTGCAAGAACAAAACACACAAATGGATTACTTTATATGCTCTTTTCCTTCCAACAGGCTGGCACTGATTTAGAAAAGTGGGCCTATATTGCATCACACAGCTAAAAATACACACATGAGGTGGGGAGGAGGACAGGGGTGGTTCAGTGGTAGAATTCTTGCTTTCCATGTGGGGGACCAGGCTTCAATTTCTTTCCTAGCCAACACGCCTCATACACAACCACTAGCTATCTGTCAATGGCAGGCTGCATGCTGCCACGATACTAAATCCCATGATGTAATTCAACACGGTGTGAATTCTGGTGCTAAGATATCCTTTACATTTTGAACTATCAAACACCAGTTTTCTTCTCATTTCAAGTAAGTCTGCTTTCTAGACAAGCCATAAGCAATTCTTTTTAAGTTACACCATTTGATTGAAAATCAGCTATGATTAGTATTATGCTAGTCTTTCTTTTAGAAATGCCAACAGGTCACTTTCAAAATTAAAGATAATGAGGATCAACAGGGTCATCTTATTTGATTTCATTGTCCATTAATAAATGGTCCAATTCATTTAAAGTCTTGAAGGTACAAGAAGTGCATTTTGAAGAGGCATACATATGGCAAGTCCACCAGATCTGGCTGACTCATGGTCTTTGCTCACATTCCACCACAAAATGCAGACCGAAGGGACAACTCACCAGTGGTTCTCTATTTTTGACCAGTCGAATTATTTTCACTGAGTCTTCTTCATCATCAATATCATCAGGCATAGGGGGTAATACTGGATCATAATTCTTCTGAGCCACAGTGTCATGTACAGAAAGCAAAGCCTATAAAATTCAACATTTGGGTTTAAATATATATGCAGTTACATACACACACACACACACACACACACACACACACACACGTGTGTATACACATACGTACATATATAAAAATAAAATACAAAAATCTGAATACACAAAATTATAAGTGAAATAAAATCTGTTAATTTTAATAAAAATGGCAACAGATCAGGGAAAAAATATTTGGCAATACCATTTCAGACAACGGTCTCACATCAAAATTTTACTGAATCCTACAGGGCCTCCACAAGAAAAGAACTGATAACACAATTACAAAATGGGCAAAAGACATGGAAAGAATTTTCACAAATGAAGACATTTGGATGGCCAACAGACATGCTCAATCACTGGCAATAAGAGAGGAGCAAATCAAAACCACAATGAAATACCATCTCATCCTATAGGCAGTTGTTGTTGTTGTTACGTGTGACTCATAGAGACCCTATGTACAACAGCCCTAAACTCTGCTCTGTCCTGTGTCAATCTCACTGTCTCCGATACACTCATCCCGATTACCCCAGTCATTGAATCAATCCACCTCCTCGAGGGCCTTCCCCTCCTGCGCCTGCCGTCCACCCTCCCAAGCATCATGTCCTTCTCCAAGGACCGGTCCCCTCCTTACAACAGGACCAGAGTAACTCAGACAAAGCCTCAGAATCCTTGCCTCCAAGGAGGAGCCCAGTTTAAACCGTTCCAGGCTGAATCTGTTTTCTTAGCAGTCCATGGTACCCTCAGCACTCTTCTCCAGCACCACAGCTCAAAGGCATCAATTCTCCTTTTATCCTCCTTAGTCATTGTCCAACTCTCTGATGCATAACAAGTGATTGCAAAGACCATGGCCTGTATCGGGCACATCTTAGTCTCCAGAGACACACCACTGCTCTTCAGTACTTTAGAGAGGTCCCTAACAGCAGACTTTCCCATTGTAATACATCTTTTAATTTCCTGGCTGCTGGTGCCAAGAGTGTTGATTGTGGAGCCAAGCAGACTAAAGCTGTGAACAATCTCAATCTCTTCGCCATCCATCCGGATGCTGCCAATTGGTCCAGTGGTGAGAATCTTTGTCTTCCTGACATTTAGCCTCAATCCATATTGAAGGCTGCAGTCCTTGACCTTCTGCAGCAAGCGTTTCAGGTCCTCCTCAGTTTCAGCAAGCAGGGTTGTGTCATCTGCATAACGCAGATTATTGATAGATCTTCCACCAATCCTGATGTTGCATTTCTCCTCATAGAGCCCAGCCTCCTGGATGATCTGTTCTGCATACAAGTTGAAAAGGTATGGAGACAGGACACATCCCTGGCATATGCCCTTCCCAATGGATAATGAAGAGATTGAGATTGTTGACAGCTTCTGTTTACTTGGCTCTACCATCAACACTCTTGGTACCAGCAGGCAGGAAATAAAAGACAAATTTCACAGGGAAAGTCTGTTGTCAGAGACCTCGCCAAGGTACTGAGGAGCAACGATATCAATCTGGAGACGAAGGTGGACCTGATACAGGCCACAGCCTTTGCAATTACTTGCTATGCATCACAGAGTTGGACAATGACTAACGATGATAGAAGGAGAGTTGATGTCTTTGAGGTTTGGTGCTGGAGAAGAGCGTTGAATATACCATACACTGCTAGGAGAAAAAAACAAGTTCATCATGGAAAGGGTGAACTTGGAGGTAAGGATTCTGAAGCTTCATCTGACATACTTTGAAATGTTGCAAGGAGGGATTAGTCCTTGGAGAGGGATGTCATGCTTGGGAGGGTGGAGGGACAGCACAGGAGAAGAAGACCCTCGATGAGATAGATTGATTCCGTCCCTGGGGTAATGGGGATAGGATTGTCAGAGATAATAAGAATGGCAAGGGATAGTGCAGGGTTTAGGGTTGTTGTACACAGTTGTTATGAGTTGCAAGCGACTTGATGGCACATAACAACAACTGATGAAGAAAAAAAAAAGATCTACTAATAGTAAGAAAGAAAAGTCAGAGAATGTAGTGTGTCCTTTGGATCTGAAATGCTTGTGCCAAAATTTCCTGGAGTCATAAGGTGGTACAATGACAAGACAGGCTGTGTGTGGATCAGGAGACCAATATAAGATAGAGCTTTAGGCTCAGAAGGAGGAAGCTAACCACCTTCAGACAGAAGATTTACTGGTTAGTGGGTGCCTTTGTGTATTCATTAGGGAACTAGATTTCTTGATTTATGGAGGTAAAGCTCAGCTTCCGTGGAGTTGGATTACTGGTACTTAAAATTACAGAGCTAAAAGAGCTTTATAGCACTTACCAGGGTAAAACCCATGAGACTGAGGACCAGAAAGAGACCTGCCTTTAGTCATGACTAGAAAGCAGCTGTTCTGACCAAAGAATTGCAAAGAAGCTGGAGGAAGAAATGAACGTGAGAGATGAAAGGTACTAAAAATATTTAAGCCTAATTTGTAAAGAAAAAAATTACAATGTCTAAAATGAAAAAAAAACAAACCCAAAAAACTAATGATACTGAAATCAGTTAGACATGGTAAGAGAAAACAATGAGCGGCAGGAAGCTTGCAATGGTCAAATATAAATTTAATTGTTTTCCCAAAGAAAAAGGAGCTTAAAAAGTATTTGAATAAGTATCACAGAAAATAGTCCAAATTTAGTTGAAAATGTAAACCAACAGGTCCAAGAAGCTCAATAAACCTTTGAGCACAATAAAATCAAAGGGAACAAAACTAAATTGCTTAATTTCAGTGAGAAAGAAAGTCTGACAAAAATCCTAAAAGCAGCCAGGGAAGAAATAAGGTATATCATACAAAAAAGAACAGAGATTAAAATGGCAACACATTTCCCATGAGAAACAACGTGAGCCACAAAACAATGAAGCAACATCTTGAAAACATTTAAGGAAAAGTGCTATCAACCTTAACTTTTATATCCAGTGCAAATGTATTTTAGAAATTAAAGATAGTTAAACATTTTAAAAGATATAGAAAGTTGAAAGAATTCTATGAGAAGCAGAAATCTTTCAGGCAGGGGTTAAAGCACAACAGACAGAAATCTGGATTTACACAGTGAGATTGGTTAACACCAGATATTGCCTCAACTTGAGTAATTAATTACCTTGCACAGAGAACGAAAGAGAGAACCAATGAACATATTTTAAAACAAATAAAAAGAAAATCATATATAGTTTTCTTTCTGACATTTAAAATCATCCCTATATCTAGATTCTTTAAAAGTTCCCCAGGAGGACATTATGCTGAGTGAAATATCTCAGTCACAAAAGGGCAAATACTGCAAAACACCATTGTTATAAAACAGGACTGACATGGGGGTTTGGGGACAAACTAGGAAAAGAGGGGACAGATCATGAACATTGCATTGGAACAGATAAAGGAAAGTACTGTTTAAAAGGATTATAGGATCAGGCATTATTTGTATGACAAATAACTGAACTGGGAAGGGGGAGGAAAATGTGCAAACATCAATGAATGAAAATTCAACTTTTCTGTAAACTTTCTTTACAATCACATACATACACACACACACACAAAGTTCCTTAAGACTGACAGATATTACGTTCATCTCTTTTAAGAGCTTTGCTCTACAAATATTGCCAGATAGAGATTTTTATTTTGGTCACCTGTAAGTAGTTTTGTATTTAATTTTCCTATGTTAACTGTGGTGATTTCACTATTAATGTGCAGATTTTTCTTTCAAAAGGTAAAACCTACATGAAAATTGTGTTTCCATATGCCATAAACACCAATGAAAACTGATGGGTTTGCCTGTTGCTCAGAAGAATTTTCAGGAAATTGAACACTGGGCCTTGTAACTCATCAGGCTCATGAGTTTCCCTGACTTACACCCCCTGGAGTCAAGTCTCAGATATTCTAAGTATCTGTCAAGTCCCCTGATTTAAGGGTCCAACTCCTAGGATGAGAAGTAGTGATTTATCCCTCCAGAAGGAAGCTTAGCTTTTCCCGTTAGCACACTTGACTGAAGTCTCATCTCTCCTGCAGACTGAGGGAATGAATAATTTCTGGTGAGTGAATGTTTTTGGAAAAGTTGAAAAAAACCTACAACAAATCTATTTTAGTGCCTTTTTACAATCTACCAAAATTTTCCCTGACTTCCTAAATTATAACATCATGTTCTTGAGATTATATGACTTTGTTTTATCAAAAGTGAGCTGGAATGGTGACTCTTATAGGTTGAATTTTCTTTACAGTGGCAATTTGAGGCAGAACATTTTTGTCTTTGTTTTCTATGGAAATTCTGGTGGCCTTGTCCATAGGTGGCTGTATCGCTAACCCACAGGTAACATTTTTCTGATGCTTCAGATCAGCCAACTGCCCCAGAAGAGGGGGAAAAAAATATTGGACAATCCTTTTTCATGCCATTTTCAGCTTCAGAAACCAAATGGAGGATCAACAGTGAATCCGTTAGACTCAGTGGGAATGAGTTCTTTTTGTTTTTACTTTGCACAGAAACAAAGTCTTAGTAGAGATAAAGCCTCGCAACCAATGCCTCTAAGACTTTATTGCTCCATTGTCGTAGGAACAATTCATGTTCAGTTCAAGCTATACATGTCCTGCCCCTTCTCACTACTTAGTCCCCTATTCTCACTTCTCTACTCTCTTTTCTCACCTTTTGTTTTTAATTTGTCATTTTTGTTGAGTACACACATTAAAACCTATGCCAGTTCTACATGTACAATTCAGTCACACTCTTAAAATCATACAACCATTTACTCTCCTTTCTTCAATTATTCTCCCATTAAGATAAACTCATTGTTCCCTAAGTTTCATATCTAATCTTTCTAGGTGTTGTACCACTTTAAAAGAGCGCATAATTCTCAGTGCATAATATTGTTCACCAAATAAACTAAATTGCTCTTTGGTTTTAGGAAGCCCTCAGAATATTTTTGGCTTAAGGTTTAAAGATTAGCTTCAGAAAAGTTTCAAGGCTCTAGGGCTCAAAAGAAGAATATTAAAACCCTATCAACCAA